GAACTTCACTGAGGAGAAACACAAATTTCTCAAGATAGGCGGGGGAGAGGAGAGCGACTCCTGATTAAGATATCTCTGGCTAGTACAAGAAAAAAAGACAATTGAAAAGTCGTTCACTAATTATTAAGTAGTTTGCCCGATCAAGTAAATAACAAATACTACATCAGAATAGTATGTATATAGTTACAAAGTCAATTGCAGATAACTAGTTTTGTATATAGCTCCAAAAAAAATAATTTCTAAATCAAATATAGATTTTATATTAACAATATTGAATAATAATCTTGCCACTCGAGAAACATTCTAGATAAATATTCATATGAATAACATTAATTGTCAGGCATACTATTTAAAACGCCAAACGAAACCATGTTGTATTATTTAATCATTTTCTTATTTATTATTTCTTATGATTTTAAGTTAGAATATGAAAATTGTTTGATATACATTCATTAGAGTGTTTGTATTTCTTGACTGTAAAATTGCTTACAATACCTTGATGACGAAAGTAGTGTATGAATGAATGAAAAGGCCTTGATGAAGCATCATTGATAATAAAATGTTCATGACATTCTTCTGTCAATAAATATATTTTATAAGACGCAACTGAGAAACTTGATAGAATATTTTTACCAACGATACAATAATTTTAATTGTTTCAATATAAATATATCTTCATATGTATATGTTTATTAAACTTAACCAAATATTTTGACTTCTAATAGAACGAAGAAGACAAGAAATAATATTCTGTTTGATTTACCTGACACCATGAATAACAAAGGTCGCTCTCATCTTACATGTGCTCTTTTTAAGCATCATTTTTCATTTAGTGATTTCAACATATATAGAAAAACATTTGCTCTTCTTTTTGCGTTGTTCTATTCTTTATTGTCTTTCTTTTGCTTTCATTTTCGTTTTTGTTTTTATTTATCAATGCAACTATATGTATGAAGAAGTAAAGATTAACTTCAAATACGACAACAACAACAACAACAACAACAACGAAATCAACACTGAAATATAAATTGAAAGTTCTGAGAATTGTTTTATTATTTTAATTATTTAGTCAGTTAATCGTGTGGTTAGATAAAAATTTGAAAACATATATATATATATATGTAAATATATGTATATATATATATATAGTTTTTCGTTCTTTGATAAAAAACGAAAAAAGTGCCACGGTTGCTTTTTTTATTAGTTTCTTTTTTTCTTTTTCTTTCTTGACTACTAATGTCGTTTACTTGGATGTAAGTAGACGCGTAAAGAAAGTGTCTTTTACATTAGGTGACTAAGACAACGTAACATATACATGCCAATTAGATTCGTTTTTTATTCAGGTAGTAGTAGTAGCATCAGGAGACCTTGAAAGTTTCAGCCAACGATAGTTGAATAGCGACCTTTGGCAAGGCAAACAATATGTTCTCATGTAGACATGCGCCAGTGTCAACGCCAAATCTTTTGATCAATACTAGAGAACGAGGAGTACGATAAGAAGGACAAAAATGAAGAAAAGGAATTTATAATGTAAGTTGCAACCGTAGAAATAAAAAAAGAAGCACGAAAAAGGAGCGAAGTAATAACATATGCATACATATTCATAATCAAGATGTTCTAAAAGCAATATTCGATTACTGAGAAATTTCCATAAATTATAAAAAACTGTATATTCTTTCATCGTGTTCATTATTATCGTAGTAAGAAGAACAATTAATTGCACTTGATTAGCCAAGCAAATAAAACCTGAAACCATATACACTTTTTGCTGATTGGTGCACGTGTCATTACAACTATACACAACAGACGACACTTAGGTTAGTAAAAAAATCTTTTTGTATTTTGATTCCTCAAAATATATAAACGTACTTTCAAATTTATGTCGACGATTTTTTTCTTTTGAGATTTAGTTACTCGACGCCTACATGCCATTTACAATCGATCTTTTGAGTATCACATGAGAAATAGAGATATTGCAAATGCAGGTGATGCAAAAAAATATAAGAGAAAAAAGATCATTATATATCTTGATTTTTTTCTGACAAATAGTAATATGGCAAGTGTTAAATCACTGTGGTATTATTGCTATTTATTTTTTATGTTGTTGTTATCATTGTCAATGTCATAAATTCTCACTTTCGCTTCGTACTGTGAATATATTTAAAAGAACGATGTCTATTCGTTTTCTTTTTCTAAGTATAGAAAAATATGGCGAGGTGAATGTGTGTGCGTCATATTTATATCATTACATAAAATAATACGTTTCTATAATTTTTTTTTTCTATTTTTCATGTATTTTTTATAATTATTACCTTTTCTTGTTAAGGTAGTTAATAGCAAATTGATATCAAGTAGAAATATAAAATAAAATTTAAGAAAATGATGCTTTTTTGAGAGTTACAATATAATACATTTTTTATCCTTGTTTTTTCAATAATAGAAATAGAACTAATATTTATCCGTTGAAAGAAGAGCTTCTTCTATTTCAATCAGTATTATTACAATCAGTTTGAGATGACAATTTAGTTTTTTTTTTATATTCGTACTTTTAGATGGCAACTGCAATTCGTCAGCATGGTCGTCGCGGAGCAAATACCGCTAAAACAGCTAGTACTGATTCTGGTGTCCCATTATCTCCGTCATCTACAACAGGTTCAATATCGGCACCACCTCGTCGATACGTTCTTGATGTGCCAACAAGTCGTACAATACGTACAAATCGTGCATCAACTAATCAAGTAGCGGATGAATTCGATGAAACAAATGCACGTCGTTCAGGTGGTGATGGTACAATAACTTATTCAAATGTTCTTACAACTGATGCTTATAATAATGATGCTGATCAATTATCACGATCAGGTTCTAGAGAATATTATTATCGAGATGGTGGAATTGAACTATCATCATCGGCAACAAATCGTTATTTAGAAGATTCAACTGTTAAACAATTAATTCAATCAAATGCAACATATACAAATACAGTAACTGAAGACGAAGAAGTTCAAGCATTAACAGCAAAAGCTACACCTGATGTGAAAAATTATCCAATTAATGTTGATCCCAATCCAGAATTAGTTGTTCGACCAAATACACAAAGATTAACATATAAACAAGATATTGCTGTTAGATATTTAAAACCAAATACACCACCACCACCAGGTGTAAGATTTCTTATTGTTTTCTCGAATTCGTCGAAAATTGAAAAAGAATCAGAATTAAATGCTATAAATAAATTTCTTTTCTTTCTTTTTTTTCTGTAGCCTATTATTATTCGTGAAATTCGTGCACCACCTCCACCAGCTGCTCCACCAATAATTCTTCGTCAACGTCCTCCACCACCACGTACACCTTCACCGATCATTATTCGTGAAAAACCACCTCCACGTCCAAAATCAGTACCAACAACTGTTATTAAAAGTGACTAATTTCTTTAAAAAAAATTGTTTGGATAGGTCTCATACTTATTGTTTTGCTAGAGGTTATTCCACCACCTCCACCACCACCTCGTAAATTAATTATTGAACGTTTACCAAATCTTCCACCCAAACCACGTCCAGTTATTATTGAACGTTGGCTTCCATATCATAAACAAAAGCGTCAAGTTATTCATGAAAAAGCTAAACCATTAGAACCAACGGCTCGTGTAAGAAACACCATTATTGAATGGCGTTCACCAGAGGTTGAAGTTGTAAAACATGTAAAAAAATTAGGAGTTGCAGAAGCTGATCCACAACGTTATTATACACAACATGGAGATAAATTATATGCAACAGAATTTGTTCAACGTAAATTAACTGAATTAGGTTTACAAGAAGAATTAGCTTTAATGCAAGAACAACAAATATCTGCATCAAAAGAAGAAACTGCTATAGAACAAGCAGATGAATATAATGTTCGACAAATTCTTAATAGGTAAGAAAACAGTAGAATTTAATCTCTTATAAAATGGTATTTTATTATTTTTAAGCTACAATCAATTATCATCTTCACGACAAAACTATAGTGGAAATACAATAGCACGTCTTGTTCGATCATCATCTCAATCAGGTATTGTTGATGAATATGGTGATCAACAACAAATACTTTATGAATATGCACCTGATAATTCTGGATCAGTTGTTTATGAAACAAATAATTATACACAAGATGGTATTTCATCGAATGCTCCGATTCTTACAGAAGAAATACTTTTACGATCACATGCAAATAATGCTGGTAAATTTCCATCACATCTTCTCACAAAACTTGGTTCACAAGTATATGAAATGCCACCTGATCAAGTTGAATTAGAAAATAATGGAAGACGAATAACAACAACAACAACAACACGTTATTATACAGTTAAGCAAGGTGAAACAGGTTATGAATCAGTTGCTGATGAAACAAATGAAACATCACCTCGTTATACAGAAGAAAAATATGTTCAAATAAAAGCATCAGATTTAAAAGATGTTTTAGCTAATTATGATGTTTATTCAAGTAAAGGAGGAAAATTAGAAGGTGAACAATTAAATTTTTAAAATGACTCAGGATAAAATATTTTATGTATTACTTTTATAAAGCTAATAGTGTTTTAATCTGCTTCTGTTTTTTTTTTTTTTTTACATTAAAAACTAACCTGCGTGCTGTGTATCCCGAGTAATATGATAATTCTCGTTCTTATCCTTGTGTTTTGTATATAGGAGAAAATATTTTTCAATTCTTATTTTAGTAAAGAATAAAACCATTTCGATTTTTAATTTTTTTAAAACATAAAAAGAAAGAAGAGAAAAGCCAATTTTGAACTTTCTTTTACATAGATGTTTGCATGTGCAAGATTTCATGTTAACATACTAATGCTAAGTAAATACAGAAAAGTACATAATCGAACATTTAAAGCAAATAATATATTCATGCGAATTTCTTTTTATCAGTTAAAACATATTGCAATATTGACTGACAAACATACATTATAACGTACCAGAAGATTTCTTCTTTTTTTCTCAATTGAATAATTATCAATGTCAAAAGTCGGCTCAGCTATTATTACAAAACAACCTCGTAATTATGAAATTCATAATAGTTTTATTTTAATGGGCAATGAAATATTCTTACATGAATATACATTTGAAGATGGAATATGTGGATGTTCTACTACCTATCATACTACACTTACTGACACACGATTACTTACTCGATCTGAAATAACATGCTGTTATAATTGTTCTTATGAACCAGATCACATGGATGCATCGGTTTTCTTACGGGATATAGCTGAAATACGTGAATTTGAAAAAACTCGTCATTGTTGTTCTTCATTATGTGATATTTGTTGTGAATGTTGTTTTCATCCTTCAAGTTTGATTGAAGTACGAGGTACATTTGGTTCTGAAAAACTGTATGTATCGAAAGCCGATAGAGCAAATATACAAGTTGAAATGCCAGCAGCAATTGCAAATCATAAACTTATTACACGTTATTAATTTTCTTTTCTAATAAAACTTCTTTCTTTTTCTTTTCAAACTGAACTTTTTCTATTATTTATCAAATTCATAAATACATATGGTTCTTCTTATACTTGGAATGAAATTCTTTATTGAAATAAATACAAATGAGATCATATAATAATCTAGATGTTAACTCATTCAATAATTAACGATGTAATCTCATAGATTGATAATAAAACTCTTCATAAATTTACTGCATTAAGGATTTTTACTATTGAATTCATTTAAAACTATTAATAAGAGAAATCGAATCAATGCATGTGGAATTTATATCATTCATTTATGTGATACAATGAATAATCACTAGAATATACAATGGCTTCAAAAATTATTCTTATAATTTTATTTTCAATTTTTTCCCGTCTTCATTAGCGTTTGTATGAAACTAAATAGTGATTTGAGTAGAGAAATTTATTTCTAACAACAATTTTTTTTTTTACAATGAAAATGATTGTTAGCGTCTATAAGATAGGATCCATGAAAACAAAGTTTTTTAGCTTCTAGAATTTACACATAGAATTCTGTTTGATTTACTCAGAATAATAGAATAAATAATTCGCTACAAAATGAAACGCCTTCTAACTCTTGATAATACCAAGATAGATCACCTTACAATAGACAAACAAGTCATGTTTTTCTGTTCTTTTGTATAGAAACATAATTTTTGTGCCTTTCGTAAGATTGACATATCTCGGTATTATCGAGAGATGGATGAGGTTACATTTTGAAGAGAATTGTTTGTTCTACAAAACGGTGATTCAAAAGTTTCGATTCCTCTCAGTAAATCAATGCTATCTATGACACAACCTACATGTAGTTGATAGATCAAGATATATAATTTTGTAGAAGAAGATTAGAGCTATCATCTGAAAGAAAGACACTTTAAAATGCATAAATGTAGCCTAACGTTATGATTATTTCACTAATCTTGAATGAATATTTTCATCATACATTTTTTTTTTAAATTTTCTTTTCTAAATTTTTAAAAAAAGATCTAAATGATTTATAAGTTTACTAGACTAACTTTTTGTATAAATATCAATAATCAAATTTAGTCATGCATTGATCTTGTTTTCAACCTTTTCGAAATATTGCTACTTATTTTCTTATATATTTTTACACTAAAATTTTTCCATTTATCTATAGTTTTTTGTTTGACATTTTCATATTTACTTACATCTTGTCGACTGATGCCTCATAAGTTCTATATTAGCCACATTTCATCTATTTGATTTTCAATGCATAGTGGAGCTTTTTTTCTATAAAACTGTCAGAATGATAAATCCAAGTTATTAACACACTAACGAATAAATTGAAAGCAGTAAACTTCGTAAAATAAGACTGTCAATATGAAAGCCTTTAGCAATATGTAAAGTGTTGCAAAACTACATTCATAATCAGCAATTATGATGAATATACTTCCATTAAAATGAAAAAGTCTTATACAAAATTCATACAGGCAAAAGACATATAGCTTTATGAAAAAAAAATTAAGATGAAAGTATTCACTTAAGATTAGTAAAATAACTATAACATTGGACCACATTTATGCATTTCACAATGTCTTTTTTTTCAGATGATAGCTCTAATCTTCCTCTACAAAATTATATATTTCGATAAATTAACTATATGTAGATTTTGTCATAGATATTATCAATATACTGAGAAGTGTCGAAACTTTTAAATCACTCTTTATTATTCAGAGAAAATTCTAATAGTATTCTATTTGTGAATTCTAGAAGCTGAAAAGCTTGACTTTTCATTTTTCAGAAATCCTACACAAAGGAAATCAATCATCATTTTTATTTTGAAATATTCTTCTTCAAAATAAATTTTCTCTACTGAAATCATTATTTATATGAATGAGTAGATTTACGAGTCTAGGTAGAATAGAAGGCTTGTCTTTATTCACATCCACAACCACGATAAAGATATTACTCTTCTGTGTAAATTGATTTTGATCTAGGTCAAATATATAAATTTGAAAAGTTTATGCCAAACTTTTTCTTTTATATATGTTTTCATTTAATTTCTTCATAAATCTAGGTCAATAATATCTGAGTAATAATTATTATATTATGATATGATCTATGATGTCCTTTTACAAATATTCAAGTATAATGATTAAACGATGAAAATTCATTTCAGAAAAAGAAGACGCTTAAATAAACTATAATATATGTCGAATAAATCTGTTCAATACAAACTTTTCCATTGTTAGAAAATATTCACATAGACATTTAAAATTTTCACATTGACAACTGTTTGATATGACATCAATTGCAAAAGAGTATTTATATTGTTCATTTTTATTTGACAATGTATCTTAAATTTGTTTCGAACACACTTGTCTTTCTAACTATTTAGTAATGGAATTTACAAAATAATCTCATCAAATCAAAGTTCCCTAGAGCAAGAAAAGAAAAAAAAACATGATTTCTTCTTTACTTATTCAACATATGTTTATATATTGTAACAATGGAATCCAAATTTAACAAAAAAACAATAACCATAGCATAAACAAGAAATTAGTTTTTCACAACTATTAAAAAAACTTAGCCCAATCAACAGCTACAGTAATACATAGAGAAAAACATAAGATTATATTGACAATAATGTATTCATCATAATATTAAATGAAAACTCAATAACAAATTTTAGTATATTTTGTTTCTTTTTTTTTTTATAGAATGACTTATCCACCAAATGCACCAATCGTCACATCTCAACCACAACAATACGATATTCAGAGTAATTTTGGCATGTTTCCTGGTGAACGTTTACTTTACCATTGCGAATTGAAAACAGGATGCTGTCAACTTGGTGATGTTTATTATACAAGTCTAACTGATACTCGTTATGTATCACGTATAGAATTTTGTATTTGTTGTGGTTGTTGTTGTAAAAAACCTTATACTGATACTTCTATATATTTACGTGATGTTGCTGAACTTCGCGAAGTAACCGATAATTGTTGCTACTGCAAATTTTGTACAAATGGGTGTTGGACATGTTGCTGTTGTTGTATGATGACAAAGCGTCTTCAATTACGTGGATCATTTGGTTCGCATATAATTCGTATTCATGGCAAAGATACATCAGATTTTGAATCTATGATTACAGAAGCCATTGCTAAACATAAACCACCTAACCGAAACTAAATTCTATGAAACAGCAAAAAGAGTGTCTCGTTCAATTCATTAATAAAGAGGAAAACAAAAAGAAAACAAAATTATTTCTTATGAATTTCAGATTTAATCCAACGAAATATAAATGTTCTAGAAAGAAAAATATCATTGTTCATTGTTCTTCTAATTAAAAATATGCTCGATCGGTAAAATATTATTGGTTAGAATGAAAATTTAAATTCAAAGATTCTGTTAACTGATGAGCAATAAATTTTCTCAGAACTTCCGAAATTAGCTCGGCAATTTTTTTTCAATTCTTATTATAGAAAAAAATCCAACGTTCAACACTAACATTGTATGCTTATTGTCTTTTAATGAAGCACATTAGATTTCTTTTCTTGGGCTCTTATATACTATGAGAAAAAGAGCATTCAAAACTAATCTTTTCCAACGGAATTTAAGAGTATTCCTCCTCTTTTCTTAGGCCGTTTCTTGTTCTCAAAGGCGGTACAATCGATCAAGCTGATATCTTTACCACAGATACAGCACCAACAAGAATAGAAAGGCACTTTGTCGAAGAAAAAAGAATTTGAAGTGAATCTTTCACTGAGAAATTATTTGATGATAAGGGTAGTGACATAACCAAGGGTGGACTAGATCAGGCGCCACTATAATACTAGAAGATAAAATAGCGTAGTAACTATCATGATTAACACTATATTACAGGAATTAATCCCTAAATTGTAGGGTTCTGCTCTATCATACACGATCTTCTAGTTACGTCACTAGTTAAAGGGTTTGAATAACAACCACTCTAATAGAATAATGTTTTGAAAATGAATCCAATGGAAAAGAATTAACCCAATAAGAAATTAATTTATATTGAGACATATTTAGATTAATCTTATAAAAGACACCATATTTCTATAGCATACAAAATAGAAAAAAATGATTCCAGAATTTTAAAATGATTCAATAAATCCTTTAAAAAAAACAGCTTCTAGTAGCCACTGTTATGTTTTTCGGGGAAACACTAATTTCTCATAGAACCGTGCTCTAATCCGATCTAACTTTGTTCAATAGGGATAACATTTTTACTACTGATATATGAAAGTATTCTCCAAAAGTGAAATTGACTGTTTTTGTTTTTGACTTTCCTACCTGGATTTACAAAATCCTGAAAGCCAATACTCCAGTTTTGACACCAAACATTTACATACTTCTCTCAAAAAAATAAAAAAAAATGAAATCTTTGAAAAACCTTAAAATTATCTCTGAGATTTAGTCTAAGGTATCTTCAAAAACATTTTCAGCTCAATCGGCTAAAGTTTGATGAGTGAGTGTAGGCAATTAGAACTCTGACTTATGAAGATCAGAATTTCCCAGAATAAAATCGCCAAAATTCTCTTCGAAATGTTGTTTCCTTGAACACATATCTCCTGATTTTTCGGTGCTCTATTTGTAATAAAATTAACAAAGAGNGTATTATAGTGGCGCCTGATCTAGTCCACACTTGGTTATGTCACTAGTTAAAGGGTTTGAATAACAACCACTCTAATAGAATAATGTTTTGAAAATGAATCCAATGGAAAAGAATTAACCCAATAAGAAATTAATTTATATTGAGACATATTTAGATTAATCTTATAAAAGACACCATATTTCTATAACATACAAAATAGAAAAAAATGATTCCACAATTTTAAAATGATTCAATAAATCCTTTAAAAAAAACAGCTTCTAGTAGCTACTGTTATGTTTTTCGGGGAAACACTAATTTCTCATAGAACCGTGTTCTAATCGGATCTAACTTTGTTCAATAGGGATAACATTTTTACTACTGATATATGAAAGTATTCTCCAAAAGTGAAATTGACCGTTTTTGTTTTTGACTTTCCTACCTGGATTTACAAAATCCTGAAAGCCAATACTCCAGTTTTGACACCAAACATTTACATACTTCTCTCAAAAAAAATAAAAGAAAGTGAAATCTTTGAAAAACCTTAAAATTACCTCTGAGATTTAGTCTAAGGTATCTTCAAAAACATTTTCATCTCAATCGGCTAAAGTTTGATGAGTGAGCGTAGACAATTAGAACTCTAACTTATGAAGATCAGAATTTCCCAGAAAAAAATCTCCAAAATTCTCTTGAATATTTTGTTTCCTCGAACATTCATCTCCTGATTTTTCGGTGCTCTATTTGTGATAAAAGTTTCATCTTATTTGATTATATTGTCTTCGAGAACTAGAAATAGTGAAAACAGAAGAGGAGGGGCGGGGGGGGGGGTATTCTTAACAAAGAGAAGTAAATATTTTCCTGTCCGCCACTTAAACTCTAGTTGCCAGCAGGTCAAACCAGACCAAATGATGCTTCGGGATCATTTTAAATATTTTTTCATACAAAAAAGACTTTAATTATTGACATGTTTTTGAATAACTCATCATTGTTCTATATGATCAGTTTAAACTAAGCAATTTTTTTTATTTCTATTAAAGCAAATCAATCATAATTATTATTTTCTCTTATTTTTATTCAATTCATTCGTTCCTATATTCTAACAGAATCTACCAATTATATACAACGAAAACTATTAGACAAAATCATTAATTTGTGACGCTATTATATATTTCAAGTGTACTACTTAAGAACTGAATACTACTGCATTGTGCATCGATAAGCAATTTTGTCTTGGCCCCGTTAGTTACCCTGGTCTAATGTGATATGAACGGAAGAGGTCAAAATAAAATTTTAAAATTCAATCTGATTTTATGATTAGTATCTCTGGCTTTAATTAATTCTTCAACACATTCAGAAATTCCCTCACTCGGTAAAGAATCATATTTAAAGTATGAGTTCGTAATTATTCATCTGTGTAGATTTATTTTATGTAAATCAAAAACGCAATAAATATTACCGAGAATAATTTCAATCGACTAATCACTAGAAAACTAGTTATCGGTCAGATAATTAACCAATTGTATTGAGAATAAAAGCTGTGATCATTTTAACCGAAACATATTGATGTTCATTCATTATTGTTTTCTTGTTAAATTTGAATTAACATTTTGTGCTTTATTCTTGGAATAAATTAACGAAAAAAACTTTAGAATGATTACAAGTCGTCTTACGATAACGACAATCATCACCAATATATAGAAGAAAAATGATCATTTCTAATCACTTTCTATCGTGTTGAAATAACCTAAATGATATTAATGTGTGATGTGCTGATAGATAGCTATTGACATTCATTTATTACTTGTCATCATTGTTCATTGTAATATATTCCCTATAAAGTTAATTATTGAGTAGAGCATAAAAGTAGAGCAATCAATTATATTGACTCGACTACTTTCAGAAAAGTGATATAGAATAGATAAAACTATTTTCTTTTTCTAGCGTAATAAATTCTGATCATATCATTATTGTCTTTCTATTCAATATATCATCATAATATTCTCTTCGTTTGTAATACATAGACGCATGTAAGTAAACAGATAAAGATTCACTGTGTTTTTCGATTAATTTGAAATTCTAGTTCATTTTAATGCGAAATCGAATGAAAAGCAATTATTAACAATGATAATTATACGAGCAAAATACTTCTCTTGAGTCCGACGCATATATTCATATTTCATATAGGTGCAAAGAAGTCGTTCTTTCTTTTCTCTATTCAATTGATTGGTATATGTATATATACATATACATATCTCAACAACGGTGAGAGGTATATATACATACGTAAGTTCAATTGGTTAAACACAATAACGAAATAAAATATTTTGCAACATCATCGACAAATGCTTGTTATTCACATATTTGTCGATGGTTTGTAAATTTTTAAGTACACTTTAGTATCCATAAAGAAGAATAATAATAATAGTATAGTATTTATGTATGTATATGTGTAAAAATTGCTTTATCGACGAAAATCCAAATTTCATTTTATATTTAATTAAAGAAAATTAGTTTTTCTTTGATTGACTAAATAAATGACTTTTTGTTTTCATTGTGTGTCTTCGATGTATATTTTCTTTAACATAGATAGACAGACATACATCAACTCGTGACCTATTTTGTTATTGTTATTATCATCGATCGGCTCGTGATTTATTACTTGACAAGAGAGGTTTTTTTTTTGAGAAGTAAGCAAACGCATATACATCGACATGTTATGTCGTCTCATGTTCAAAATTTGATTTTATTTCGAATTCAATCGATGGATTTTGTGTTGTTTCCTTTGTAAATAGAAGAAAGATTATTAATAAATTTTTTTTTATCCTTCCTGATTGATACACCTAGTTCATTTTCTTTCCTATCTTATCCGTTGACAATTGTATAATCGAAAACCTTACAAATCATTTGTAAACAAATATGAATTTTGAAACTAGTGAAAGAACTGCCATTGATATTATAATCAGTTTATTATATTCACCGATGGTTGCATTCAATAAAAAAAGACATTTTTTTTTTGTTAAGTCATTGGAATAATATTTTCTTTTTAGATGTGATTTGCTGATTTATAATGGAACAATGAACAGACAAACACTTCAACGATCTCATTCAGCAAAATGTCGAGCCCCTCCTTCAACATCTTCAATTACTAATAATTGTTTAAACACAAAAATTTCATCATCACTACCTGAAGCATTTATTTCATCATTACGCCAATTATTTTCTATACTTGATAAAAAAAATTGTGGTTATGTACCTTTTAATGTATTTAAACGTTATTTTGATTGTTCATCATCAACATCCGATTTCTTAAATCAACTCGAAATGGAATCAAACTCTAATAATCGTTTAATAACATTTAATTCACTTATAAATGTTATCGAACGATCATTAATACCAACAAAACATCTTTCATCGATTCCGATTCCAAAAACCTCACGTTCATTAAATCGTTCAACAAGTATTTCAGTTGTTGCTCCTATGGAAAAGAAAGTTGAACGAGTAATTCCAATTAGTTATCGAGGTTCTAATGTATTTGAAACAAGTAATTCTCATGCATCAAATCCTATTTACTTTACAAAAAAATTACAACGAAACAATGGAATTGATTTTTCTAAGGCTTGAATAAAACGAATTCATTTTTCTTGTTGTAATTTTGTTTGTAATAATTTTAGATAAGATCTTTAAAACAATATGAAATCGAACGTGATCTTCTTGTTGAAACTTGTGATACACTTGATCGTGTTAAACTTTATTTAACTGATTGTCTTTTTGAAATGAAAGATAAACAAAAATCATATTGTCGTTATTTAACAACAGCAGAAGTTTGTTTTTTTTTTCAAAAGAAAACTTTCTTTTATAATTTTTTTTCTTCTTCTCTTTTTTTTTTTAGACAATAGGCGTTGAACCAGAATCACTGTATAATCGAGATTTAGTTGCTGATTTATTTAAATTAGCAAATATAGTTATTGAAGAAGTCAATTATAATTTGAAAGTAATGTTCTTTCAATTTTATTTTAATTTTTTAATTTTTCTTTTCTTTAAAGAAATCATCAGATCGTTCATCAAATTCAATTCCATCATCATCATCATCATTTAATGGAATAAATACTCAATATGAAAAACAATTAAAAGCAAAAGATGATTATATTAAACAATTAGAAAGTGAAAAACGTATTTTACTTAATGAACTAATTGAAATGAAATATCAACAAGGAACAATTATACCAATAGAAATTTCCTAAAAACAAAATCTTTTTTTTCTCTATATTATAACAATTGTTTATTTTATGTGATTTCGAGACAAAAAAAAATAATTTTCAAAGGGTTCGAAGAATTCAAAACTCAAAGATAGTCAAACTAATCGAATAGAAACTTTATCACAACTAAAATCAAGACTCTCATTGTCGAAGTTTATTAAGAAAACGATAGAACAGAAAATGGTTTTCAAAGATAACAAACATACAGTTTAGAAGATGTGGTCAAGATGTTTTCTGTCCTTGCAGAATCGGAATCTAGACGAAGACTTATGCTTTCATTGGGAACGATCTTCTTTCATTATCGTGTAAAATTGGTATGAAATGCAAAGAGAAATGAGCTGAAATCGGATTATTTTTGATTTTCTGTGAACTGTAAATAAAAGAGAGAATCAGTGTAATGAAAGAAACTCGGCAAAATCGATAAAATCATTTTCTTTTGTAATTATTATGGTAAATCCTATTCTCTCAATGTACGAGTGTTCTTCTTTTAACAATGCAGCTCTACTTATAGAATTAAATTATAAGAAGATATTTAAAATTAAGGCACAAAACATTGAAAAAAACAGACTTTTTTTGTTTAAAATTGATAAAAAAAAGTTTTAAAAAGTCAGCTCTTCTCTTCTTGGTGCAATATCATAGTGTCATGTGTTTTTAAAACATATGAGCAAGGTGGTCCTGGTTAGAGACCTGCGGAGTTACGTGTTTTTTATTCCGATGTCAACTCCAACTCTGACTACGCTTTTTTAACAAATCTTTGTCAATGAAAATTTGGAGAAATTATCCCAAGAGTTACTTTTATTTGACTTTATTGTTTGGGATTAAATTAACTAGATTATCTCCTTTTTTAATTAAATTTAGTTTTCTCTCATGGCTATAACTTAGCACTCATTGCAAACATCTTTGATTCACAAAAAAATTTAAANGTCGACGTAGAAGAAGATATTTGTGCATACATTATAATATGTGTTAGTGGAAATGACTACTCTTTCTAATTAAAAAAAAAGAAGAAGCGAATACATACCATGTTTTTTTAATGCAAGCGAAAATTTGAATTTATTTTTAACTAAAAGAAAATTATTTCGTACGTTTTCACCTAATGAAAAACAGATTTTGCCTATGACATATATATATATATATATGATGCACTCACCTATGTATATCTCATTGAACCACGCAAATATGATATCCTCGTATGCTAACTTAGTAATGTACCTGAAAAATGCCAAAAAACGAATCAAACACTACGGAAGATTGCAAAAATCGTTTAAGAAGTTAGGAACCTGGCTGAATTTTATAGAAACCAACAAAAGTTTCATCCTAATTCAGATTTCAATGCTTCTATGAAAAGTAAATATCAATTCTTACCAGACATTCAATAGCATTCGCGTGCTACGATCTCTATTAAATTCGAGTTTTTAATTCCATCGAACATATGCTTGAATGTCACTGTTGGATCTGTTATTAAATTCATCTTTTAGATTTCCGTGAGTTTTTATCAGATGGTCAGAGTCATCTATTTGAATTCCTCAAGGTTTGCATGCTTATAACAATCACTATTAGAACCGTGTTAGAGAAACATACTAACCAAGTGCATTCATATTGTTTATATATATGGAACCTGTCCATTCGTGATGGAATAACGATTTTGCACTTTCTATTTTCAATATATCAGCGAAACGAAGTCAGATAAAGCTGAGACTTTCACAATATATTTAAGTCGAATTGCTTTACACATCTTCAAAGTTTCGCTAGAATCAAAGCTTCCTTCATAATTTTATGGTTGAAATATAGATCCATGACGGAATAGCCCAAAAATGGACTTGAATTTGAGTGTTATCTAAAGAACTGAAAAATAAAGCGCAAATAAGAGTGCGAACCAAAAACTTTCTGTACGGAAGTTATAGCTTAGGTAATACGTTACAGAAAGAAAATTTGAAAAATATAAACACACGGGTTTTGAAAACTAAAAAAGACCTCGTGACAGAATATCGCTTTTTAAAATTCGGACATTTTCATCGACGTTTATTTCTTCAGAAAGTTAACTATAGTTCTTCCAGAATGAACACATTGATAAAAATCTTTCAAAGAACAATTAAGAAAACGTCTCACATCATCCTTCTGACAATGTAAAAATTATATAATGAAAGCATGAATTTCACATTTTTCTGAATTTATCGAAATAGATGAACAGGTACATAGTAAGGTCGTATATGTCATGTATATGCAAATGTGTGTACATGTATACGTCTTCATTCTCTTTCTTTTACGATGGATTAGCCATTTCATTGTTTTTGTACATATCTACGTCATTTCTTTTCTTCATCAATGAGAATCATTGAAATCCTAACATTCTTTCTCGTTCTATCGTCTTTTTTATTGACTGCAAGATTCGAACAGATCATGCATGACGTCATCTTCTTAATTTGATATTGATCTAAGATTAAGTCGGAGAGATGCAGCCAAATTATCTTATTTTCTCTTTTTGTCTGCTTCTAGAATTCGTTGGATCCGGATCTAAAAATTTTGCACCTGACGGACTCTAGTAGTCTGAAAAATGTGTAGGGTACGCTAGTAGCCGAATATAAAAAGCCGGAAAAAAGTGTCTCATATCTTCGGAGCAACTATCTAATTTTGATTAGAAAATTTCATTGAGAGTATCAAAGTACAATTCGACTGGGTTTGGGTTGAAATAAGAAAATTTTGGACCTGACTAACTCTACCTGCTCCTCTCTCTGTTCTCTTTTTGTGTTTCTCTTAGTTTTTGTTTGTTTGTATGTATCTCTACGTGCCATAATGTAGTTCATATCAACAAGAATAAAAATCAGAGGAGTTGATAATTTAGTAACAAGAGAATGCTAAACAAAGACGCAGAAACTGTCTTGAAATTCTAACTTTGTCTATTGAGCTTATTCAAATAAGATCGAAAGAAATTAATTTGATACGATATTAAGAAGTGGAGAATTTTTGTATGAAAGTGATCTCATTTACAGATGTTCCATAGTTGAATAATGATTAAGAGAAATGACTTCATGTTAAAAACATGTAGAAGTATGTTTTGAATATTTGCTATTCATATGAATTATTATCTAGTGATAATACATTCACAATAATAAAAAAATACAGTAAACATTCGTTTTTGTTAATACATTCAATGTATTGTTTTTAAAGTAAATTTTGTTTTCGTTCTTTATTTTTGTTATTTCTAAAGAGAAAAAACTACTCAAGAGTTTTTTTTTCTTTCAACTAGTAACTAATTGTTCTTTTCTGTATTTTTAAAGGCATCATTGATTTAAAACTGTCAACTGAAGTAAAAAAAATCGTCTGTTGTTTGTATTATATTCTGTCACTGAATGTTATTGAATAAAGTGAAAAGAGAATAAAACGAACCTTCGAGAAAATAACAGCGACGCAAAGCAAATACAATTAAAGTAATCTGTGTGTATACGACAAATAAACAAAAAAGCGAATGTATCCAATCTTACTGTTCGAACAACAGAAAAAAGAACCAACTAAAATTACAAGCCATATTCATTGTTTATAGACTATTTGAGCTCATGAAAATACTTCATAGTGTATTTTGTTGACGAAAAAAAAAATGTCTACACAAAAAAAGTATTACACAACAGCAGTTGAAATATTGTTGTCTTCCGATTATTATAAGTATTGTGTAGATTGTCTCAGAAAAATAAGCAGTAAAATATTTAATTACGACAAAACAGGTGATAATATGGAATTCTGTCAAACTTGTCGGAACTAATCATTTCATTATGAAATATTTATTTTTAAGAGTAAACTTACTAAAATTTACTTTTGAATATGATAATATGTCAATCAGAATGTAATAGTATGCTTTATTATTTCTATATTTTGTAGAAAAAAAATACAAAATGCGGCTTTCAATGCGCCGTCCGACAATTATCTCTCCAACTTCACACATACGATCATATAATTTTGGCCCATTTTTAGCTTTGATTTTAACTGGTTCCATTTTATCTTTGATTACAGGTTACATCAATACTATTTGTATTCTTAGTTTGTTACAATCATCAATAGCTGGCTTCACAGGTACTACATCAAAAATGGTTATTGAGTTGGCACAAGGCAATTTTTTCAAAACGTTACATTTCTTATTGATGATAATTGCGTTCGTATTGGGAAGTTTCATTTCTGCGGCGTTAGTAGGAGGCTCATCATTTCGGATTCAACGATCATATGGTGTAGTACTAATTTTAGACTCGCTTGCACTTGCCTTTGCATTTTTATTTGAAGTAAGCAAAGAAGGAAACTTTTAAATTCTTGCAAAGATCTATAATATAAATTTTTAAAAACTGACATATTGTTGACCTTTTTATATGTTAATAAAACACAATTAGTTCTCGATACCTTTAAGAAATTCATTTAAATGATGAAAGAAACAGTACATACTCTAAGTAAAAATATATTGTACAAAACTCTAAAAAGATTCTTCGTTTGAATATGTACGAGGAACTTTTGAGTTTTTGTGAACTACATTTTGTGAAACATGATCTAAAAAGAGTTTTGAAGTAGACACCTTATCAACAAACCATCACAGACGTGGTTGATATACGACCAAAGACCATGCTAATAGCTTTTCTGTTTCAAGTTTAATAAATTAAAGTTTATTTTTCTTCGGTATAGATCCAGATAAAAACTATATCTTACATAGATCTATATTTGCGACATAGTTCCACTAGTTTTTTGAATCGATAGAATTTTCAAAACAATGTTTTCAATAAATATTTTGTTTGTAGGAAACTGCATGGAATCTCAAAGGAACTTCTGCACCTTTGCTAGTGAGTGCATATTTAATATCTCTTTCATGTGGCCTTCAAAATGGTATGTGTACAACGTTTTCTGGTGCCGTTATTCGTACAACGCACATGACAGGCGTTCTCACAGATATTGGTCTCGTTTTGGGACAAGCAATTTTCTATCCACGAACTCGTAAACATCTCTGGAAATTG